GTAGTTAAGCAGCGGTTGAGGGGAGAGAGGGCGGGAAATTGATGGATTGTTGATTCGTCGCGCGAGAGAGAGTTTGGCTGGCAGCCTGACGAGGCAGGAGCCGTGCGCTCACATACCTTCAGCAATGCGGGTGACGGTGAGGTTCTCATCACCATCCGTCTCTTGAAGAGCATAGAGAATATCCTGCTCAGACCAATCGGGGAAGAGCTCCTTGATGAGGGGCGCCTTGGATCCGTACTGTTTCTTCAGCTCGCCGAGCTCGCCTTGGTCCTCAAACGCATCATCGGCGTTGGAGTCAAACTTGTCGCCATTGGGTCTGCCTGAGGTGCGACCACCCCGACTGGCGAAACCACCTCTTCCACCGCGTGCAGAGCCTCTGCCGCGCGAGGCGGCAGGCCGAGTCTGTACCTCAGACATTGCTGGGTTTCTTTGTATGAGGGGAGGGGTTTTCCACGATGGGAAAATTGGAGGGAATCAATTATTCACTGTCCCGTATCGACACGACAGCTTTGGTGGGGGTTTCTTCAGTTGCGTAACTCTTGCCGGTGAAGAGGAAGAAAAAAAGAGGTAGGAAAAGAAAAGCGTGCCGCAAGGTGGGAGAGACGACGTCGTCGTGATCGTGGCTGACGAGACGAGACAAGTGAGGTTTGGGTGGTGGTGGATGTTGGTGGGAGAAAGACGAGGTGTGGATGGTGGATGGATGTGGAATGTTTGTGCAGAGGCAGACGCAATTGCACTGGGGCACTGGGGGAAAAGTTCAAAGGGAGGTTTTTTGCCCAGGCGCCCAGCAGAGCAGCACACAACCTGGAAGCGCAGGAGCAGCCGACCTTTAGGCAAGGTACCTGCTCAGGTACCTGAGGTACGTAGGTAGCGAGTGTGTGGCAGCTGGGGTCCCGTCAGATTCGCTGTGGCAGCTGGTCCAGTCACAGTTGGCAGCAGCAGCAAAGCCCAGTTGGAGCACGGTCGCTGTAGGGTAAGATACCTTACTAGCTTAGGTAACCCCGAGGTGAAATAAGGTACCTTAAGTACCAAGGTTCCCCGTCAGCTTTCAAGCTGCCCTGTCTGGGCTGGGCCAGGGGGAGAGTTGGGGGAGGAGAGGAGAGGTGGGAGGCAGGTGAGATCTGGGAGTACGTACCGACAATACCTCCACGAATTTTGGTGCTTCTTCTCTTTTTTTTCCTTGCGTTGCTTCCTTCTTGCTGGTGTTGCTTGTTGCGTTGCGTTGCCCCCATCTCTGATCCAGTCAGGCGAAGGTTTTTGGCCTGAGCGACCGGCTGCAGCGAATGACGCCCCCTTCCGTCCGCAAATGGTTAGTGCGTCGTGATTGTAGCGGGGCATTGCAGATCCACTGCCTCAATTGTCGAGCTGAGGCTGCGTACCGATACCTACCAGACGGCAGAAGCTACGTGAGCCTTCGAGTATATGGACACGTTTGCAGCAGCTTCGCCATCTTGGAGGAAAGTACCCAAGCTAAGTATCTCTATGCTCCTGTCGGTAGTATAGGTACCTGACTTGGGGACCTTCCCCTTGGCTGCTGCTGCCTTACCTGCTCAAGTCTTCATGTATCTTTTCCCATTCGTGGAGGGAGAAGATGAGGTAAGAAAGTAAAGCAGTTACGTCGAGTCTTGGACCTTGGATTGAAGGGATAGCTTTCCTCCAGCTCAGCTCACTTGGAATGGCCACCAGATCCCAAGAGTTTCCGGTAATTGAACGTTGAACAAACGCAGCAATTTGTATAGTAAACAATGAAAGCAATCAACGGAGGCGCCTGGCCAGGTTGCTAATTTATTCAAGGAGCGCTGTTCAGTGACAACCAGGTAACAAAGCAGAACCTGGCAGTGCCACAGCCGAGGCCAGGAATGTTGCAAGTCGGGAAGCTCCAAGTAGCTGTTTCTAGAAAAAAGCATCGTCATTTCCGTCCAACTCAATTCGCCGCACGAAACAGCAATCCTGGTTGTTTGCTCTGCCCATCGCGAGGTCGAGATCCACTGTGCGTCGGTGCATTCTTCGGATTCTATTGTTATATCCTTCAGCTTCACATCACGGCGTGGTGTTTAGATACCTGCCGAAACACGATGGCATTGTCACGTTGTTGTTGTTACGTAGCGCCTCTCGCAATGGGGTCCGTCAAGCTTTTGCCCATATATTGAGGAGAAAGGCACCCTGGTCGACTTGTGTCATATGTTCTCGGTCACGAGGCTGTATCCGTCACTCAGAACCACCCATGTGCAATGGCGAGCTGAAGCTTGAATGGAGGTGATTGGTGTGACTTTCGATGTATGGATAACCAGTCAAGTAACCGCTACAAGCGAGATCTCGAGCGACAGTGGCTGACCGTGGGCGGCCAAGCAAGCTATTCGCTGCCAGGGCCTGGATCACAGACTCTAGATCTTTTCAAGCGTACAAACTACACAGAACTTTTCCTCGTCAGAGAGGAAATAGCATCTCCATCACGTCTCCAGGCCACTCAGACAGCCAGCCGAGAGCCCGCATATTGCCCACGCTTTCGGTACGTACCGCATTTCTGCCCTGAGCTTTGATGTGGGGTGGATGTCGAGGGCCTCTAATCATCCTGCCTGAGGTGTCAAGGGAACCATCTCCGCATTATCCATATCACATGACCCGTCAGTGGCATGACGGAGGCCCGGCTCGGCGGGCAACCTGACTCCATGGCACCACGATGATGCGTGTCTGATGGTTCTGACCTGCCTTACCACTTCATACTTCCACCAGACGTTCCAAGCACCCCCAGCACATCGTCTTTCTCTGGGACCGCCAACTCCGAGCGGAGAGACATCCACTCCGTACTTCCGCACTTTCGGCGAACACCATCGACCACTGCATAATCTTGCAACAACTTCACGAAAGGCCGTCTGCGCCGACCCTGCTATTTCGATACCTCGAATCCTACGACTTTCACAATGTTCGCCACGAAGCCCCTGAGCTCTATCAAGAATGCCATTCCCTCGATTCACCAGCCGCTACCCCTCTCGTCGAAGCAGTCCAAGAAGCTTCTCAATGTCTTGAAGACTTCCTTCCGCAAAAATCTCGACAAAGAGCATGGCTTCGCCCCCGAGACTACCGACTTGTCCGCGGCCAAGCCTACTTCTTCAACACACTCTCCGTCTCGCCCGACCGACCAACATCTTCGCTCCATTCTATCCAACCCGCTATTCAAGATTGGCGCTCAACTCGGCAGTGTCCCTTCCGCAAGTTCCAGTCCTAGAGATCCGATGGACGTCTTCGATGAGGCAGTATCGCGAGGCATGATGACAAACCGTGCGGCACAAGGCTGTCTGAAGGCGAAACGACTGCAGATTCTTCAATCCAGTACCCTGTCAGTGGAGGACTCAATGGCGGCATCTGCAGCTGGATTGCGGGTAGTTCAGTGGTTGAGGTCCTCTGGCCAGGAACGGAACCTGGAATTTCTCGCCGATGTCGGCTTGAGCCGTGAGCTCCTCACGTTCATGGTTGCAGAGGGGCTGGAGGAGGTTGCGTGGACGTGGGCGGACCGACTAGTTCGTGGCGAAGGACCTGCAGATGGCTCCAGCCAGATTGTGGGATTCTTGGTCGCCAACTTGGTGCGGGCGAAGTCTAGATTGGAGGACCGCAGCCTAGATACGGCATTTTCAACAATGCTAAGAGCGGAAACCACTTGGAAGACGAATTCTCAACTTCCTCAGATTCTCTGGCAACCTTTCCGCCATCTTTCCTGGGAAGCCACAGTCGATGCGTGGAAGCGACCACTACCCTCCGCGCCGCTATACGAATCCTTCGCCAGAACCGCTACCTACCAACGACCCCTGATCAAAACTATCAGACTCGACCGCGCACATTTGGACCTCCACCATCCCACTAACCCAGATCATACGGGGGCCTTGGCTGTGCTCCGTTGGTTCCTGGAGGATCGAGGCACCTTGGAAGGCGACGGCCGTCTACCTAGAAGGCTGAGGACAATGGCCATGGATATTGTCACCCATCTCACAAAGATCGGCCGGGCTGAAAGTGCCGATACGGTTTTGCGCCTGTTGCACGATAACTCTTCGACCAACCCGTGGCAGCAGCCCGGGCCACTGAACGTGTGAGCCATGTGAGAGGCATTTTCTTTCAAGCTCACACCAACACATCTGCCAGCACACTCGGCATCACGCCTGCCGTCGTCGCCTTGGTAGGTGGATCACGCGACACGCCAAGGTGTCGTTGATCTGACAATTCCTCCTCACACAGGGCCTGCCTGAGAAGATCCAGAGCCGCGCCATCGTCGGTCACCAAAGAATCGACGCTGCTGGCTCTATTCAGATGGCTTGAAACAATCAGGTGGACAAATTAAGTCCGGATTTGAGACTACACCATTCCCTGCAATTGCGAACCAAATGTCCCTGAGATGTGTCGTCATTAACCTACGACTGGATATAGGAAGGCTGATGGCTGCTGGCGACAACCTCTTTTTTTGAACAAAGCTCATGAGATACCCGCAAATGAACAATCATTTCAACCCATTACATGTTTCAATCTCTTCAAGTTGTAGCTTTGGTGATGATGAAGTTCTCATGACTTCAACCCTCGGCCGCCTGTCTATGCGCAAACAACGAATGCGCTGTTTCGACACGGGAGGTCCCTCACGCCGAGTCTTACATGAGGGATGAGATGAACCAACAGGCTGGCTTGTTGGCTCGTGCCCAATCACCGTGCAATAGGCCGATTGAAGTTAAGATGGGTTGCATACATTAGTGCTTACTCGTCGAGAAACTCAATCGATTCACTATCTTATTGAATAACATCGAATCTTTACCATAACTCAATGACTGAATTAGACCTTGCTTTGCGTGACTGCACAGAAACTCCACGAGAACGCCATAGAAGAGAAGCAACCCACCCGGCCGCCTTTTCCATATCAGCCGTATGGAAGAATTGCACAATTTTCCTGTTTACCCTTCCGTTCCCCTCTTCACCTACCTCATTCCAGAGATATGAATTCCCCTTCCTCAATCCAGAACCCCTCAAGCCTTCTTCGCGACCTTCACCACAATCTTACCAGCAGCCGACCCCTCCTTGAGCTTCTCATACGCCTTGACAGCATCCTCAAACTCGTACGTTGAATCAACCACAGTCTTGACCTTACCCTCCGCCATCCACGCCGCAATCTGCGCCAGATCCGCGTGCACATTCTTCGTCATGAACGCCTCAAACTTGTGCTTCGCGCCGCCGAGGAACCCCGGCAGGAACATGCTCGTCACGAGACTGCTCACCTGCGCAAACGACACCGCCCCACCCACGAACTTGAAGTGGCCGCCCTCGAGCAAGAAATCGTCAGACGCCTTGTACAGGTTCGGCGGCGAGTTTCCGACATTGTCAACGACGACGGCGAAGACCTTGCCCTTGGCGCGGAGGGTCGAGACGACGTCGGAGGTCTTGTAGTCGATGATCTCGTCGGCGCCGAGGGATTTGCAGAGGGATGCTTTGCCGGTGGAGCACGAGACTGTAACGGTGCAGCCGAGCGCCTTTGCGATCTGGATACCAAACGTTCCCGTGCCGCCCGAGCCGCCGTTGATGAAGACGTGGTCGCCCGCCTTGACGTACGGCGCGATGGTCTGGTACGCCGTCAGGCCCGCCGTGCCCACCGCGCCAGCCTGCTCCAGACTCTCCGCGGCCCCGGATCCGTGAGGGAAAGCGGCTACGCCGTCGCGCTCGGCGACGAGGTACTCGCTCAGGGAGCCGTGGCTTCCCAGGGGATCGACGCGGCCGACGACGAGGTCGCCCGGGGCGATGTCGGTGATTTCGGAGCCGACGGCGACGGCGCGGCCGGAGAAGTCCATGCCTGGGCAGCGGGGGAAGGAGACCATTGCTTTTGCGACGAGGCCTAGGTCCGGCAGCTTGTAGTCTGCTGGGTTGATGCCCGCGGCAACGACCTGGACGAGGACTTGGGTTGGTTTGAGGGCTGTGGCGGACGGGGTTGGAACGGTTGTTAGGGCGAGGTCTTTGATGAAGGCGCCTGGGGCGGGGATTTGCCAGCGGCGCATTTCGGTGGGCGGTTGTTGGGTCATTTTGGATGGTCTTTGTAGTTTGTGATGCACTATCAAGGTTTATGGTGTCTGTTGATGAGATGGAGATGGGTGGAGTGAGGTGAAGTATGAGGTTGTGAAGTTGTGAGTATGAGTACGAGGTTGAGTGTGGGAGAGAGGAGGTCTAGATAAGGCAGCTCAAGCTTCCTCCCCGCGGGAGCGCCCCGGTCATGATATTAACTTTCACAGACGGTCATTGCTTCCCAAGGTGGGGTGACGGCCACTGACGAAATCAAAAGTCAACCGGGCAGCGCAAGCCGGGGAATGCGGGAACCGTCCCCCCTTGCCAACCATCAGTCAGTTCATAACTCTCTTCCCTCCCTCACACCGGGGGGGGATGGCAACCTAGCACAAGCACGGCCACACCGCACCCGATAAGTCAAATGGCGTCACGACTCGGCTTGCCCCGATCCGGCTTGTTCGCTCCGATCATTCTCCCGGAGACCCCGATCAGACCACGGGAACTCGGAGACTGGTTCAGACGTCAAGTCCAATCCGCATGAATCTTCAAGGTTGATATGAACAGGTGCTCCACCTCGTTGGGGCTGCCGAATGGAAGAAGCGGGCGACAGAAAAAAATTCCTGCGGTCGAATTTTTCTAGAAGAAAGTGGGTTATTTCTTTGGCAGCTACGGCAACCAGTGCATGGCATGAAGTATCAGTCCTGGAATTTCTCAAGGATGCGACATACTTTACTATCTTATGCAGAGCAGTTACTGTAGCAAACGACTCCGTATTCAAGATTACGGGAATAACATCAGCCGAGGCTCTATTGACTTGTGAATATCGAGCACTCTGAGGTAAAAGTCCACGTAGAAAGGGCTGCAGCTGAAGGGTCAATGAAGATAGTCACTCCACCATTCCGACCTATCAGAGTATCGAGGATACAACGCTGCATTGAGTGGATGCGTAAATGTGGCGGGTCACCCCACTATCAACGACAAGAGTCTTGGTGAGGTCCAGGAACATCATTTAGTGGCTACCTATTTCCGATTGATACTTAGGACTGAAGCGAGCTCACTAGATCTTTCTGCCAAAACTTTCCTGATAATACTTAAAGGCTAGGGTCAATGGGTGTCCACGATCGATGTGGGTAATTCTTCACCTTCCTAATCGACCTTGTTTAGGATGAATACCTAGGCTATTCGGGCCGGTTAAAAGTCTAAGCCATGGCATTTGTATTGAGGTAAGATAGAACATCACTCTGTCAACAGTTTCTTGCATTGTTTAGTTTAGAGCCGAGCTCTCTTGCCTAGGTAAGTAGAAGCCCACGACAAGCTTCCCATTTCGTATAGAAAGACATAACGCCTAATTCTTTCCTCTTTAAATCTCGATGTCAAGAATTCTTGGTATCTTATTCTTCCTCGTCAAGCAATCCAAATACACCAAACGGGAATCTAGTGCTTGGCGCAAGCCATGCAGGATGTCCCGGGGTGCCTTGAACACTCTTCTTTCATCGATATCGTAAGCCCAGGCGATGCTTTCGCCAAAGTAACACAATAATTTCATACTTGCCGCGATTATCAACACCACGATTCGACTCATCGTTGAAGGTATCCTCGCCGAAACAACAAGAAAAACACTTGTCTTCATTATTGTTCGTTTCCCCCCTCGTCCTTCCCTGAAATGGAAACCTCCACATCTCTTATACTTAGGCGCACCACGTAGACGCCCAGCGACCAAGCTCATTCGGCCCACAGATCCTCTCCATATCATCCTCCCTCAGAGCAAGAAGGACCTCCCAAGGAGCATCGCCCTTGGTAACACCACGACGCTGCATGATATTCATGCTGCCGTCGTTGGCAGACCACGTCTTGCGCACGTAGTCAGCTCTACCCCCCGTGCCCGGGATCCCAAAGTCCACATCCGCGCCCATGTGCGTCCAGACGCTGCAGCCAAGCCCAGCGTGGCCAGGCTGGAGCGCTTTCATGAAGGCCTTGCCTTCCATCGTGGGGTCAGGAAGGGAAGCGGCGAGGGCGATCCTGGCGGGGATGTAGCTCGACGTGCTCGCCTTGCTGACAGCCTGGCGAACGCGCCAGGAGGCGTCGAGGATAGCGGGTACGGCGTCGCAGGGGAGGATGCCGGAGCTAGAGGTTTGAATTAAGCCCCCTACTGGTATCTGGCCAGTGGTGGTCTGTGTGTATACGTTGCCCCATGCCCCAGGGGAGAAAGGAGGGGATAGACGGGGGCGGGCATCTGCGGCGGTGGTGAATGAGGTGTGGTCCTGCTCCGAGAGGTGCGCGAAGCGGGATCTGGTGACGTGGACCCAGATCATTGCGGAGAGGGTGTCTGCCTTTGAGACAAAGGCTTTCTCACCGTGCTTCCCACGTACATGGGTGAGGGCTTTGCTGTGGAGGTCGGAGAGTATTTCATTCGGGATGTTGAACAGTACACAGACTGCTTTGGGGGGCTTCTCTGAAATGCTCTGGTTGCTGGTAACGGTGTCGTTGGGGGTGAAGTCGTACTCTGGGAACGTGGCTTTTGAGATATCGGTGGAGATGTGAGGAGACACGAGCGGGCGTTCCATCGCCTCGTCAAGAAAGGCAAGCTCAGGGTTATCATCAAGGCCCTGGCCAAAATACTCAAGAAACGCCTTGATGAAGCCGCCGTCAAAGATGGCGTGATGAGTAGAAAAGCAGACGAAGAGACCGCCTCCAAAAACTTCTGTGATCTTTAATGTAACAGGAGGGCAAAACTCACCCGGCCTTGGGTGATTAGGAGAGAGGGACAGGATGTCCTTGTTCATGAATGAAGGAGGCATGCCACGCTCCTTGAGACTTTGGTAATCGAGACCTCCAAGGTGCTCAACTGAGCTATATGCAAAGATGTCTGGTCGCTGATCCATGTTGATCTGGGGATATAGCAGATCGTAGGTGAGCTCAAGTTCATTTGGTCGACGACTGTTGCTGGCCGGGCCAACTTGGCCTGATAAGAAGGGCCAGCGGGCAAGAGCAATCCCGAAGCGAAGCTTGAGATGGGCAATTGTCTCCTCGGTGTACTTCTCATCCTGGTCGAAGACGAAGATCGATCGCACGTAAATTCGCGGAGCGATTTGGTCCAAGGGACCGAGTTCAACGGTATCCAGGACGGTGGTGCTACCCATTGTGAATTTCGCTGACGAGTATGGAGAAGGGTCGTTGGTATACGTGTAAGTGAGATGTTTGAGACACAAGGAGCAGGTGTAGACCAAAGCTCACGAGGCTCGTGAGAGAAATCTTGAACGTCGCAGAGAATTGAGTGAAACCAACGTGGACGCGAGTAAAGGTGCCTATTGAGAGGAAAAGACGAGTTGTTACCCTTAAGATATGGTCACCTTTAACTATAGTCTGAAGAAGGTGTCTCCGCCTATTGTGCGACTGGGAATGGAGATACCTTTCGCGTTATGCGAAGCCGGGTAAACTTGAAGTGTAATATAGCGGATATACAAGTCCTGTACTTTCTCGGAGATAGGTTGCTCCCACAGTGCTCGCAGCTTTCCTAACAGATGCTTTGGCGCCGTTCTTCAAAACCAGAAAGCTATCACTGTGGCGAGGTAACCTGCCTAGCCACTGATCTACCTAGGTGAGTTTGACTTCTTGGGGCCCGTGGTTGAGGAAATAATTCGACGAGAGAAATATGAAGTCGGAGCATGAGTTTCATGAAGTTTAAGGGGACATATCCTCAAAATCAGTCCTGCTAAGGCCTGTAGATGTTCGAACACAGCTGTATCATTTTTTGTATTCTGTTGTTCATTTCGTTGGAAAATCAACTTGGATTGTCTCATTTCGAGAGCTGTAAACACGATAGAAAGCATAGTAGGGAAGATTCAGCTTAAACTAGAGCCAAGATCAACATGAAAGCACTGTGTTGTATTGGACAATGAAAGCTTCAATGTCATTGTGGGTTCAGGCCTTGCTACTCAAAGAAGAGCAATACCAGCCCCTTGTGAATCGTTTGACTGAAAGAGCTCTGAATGCAGATGATGAGTCCTAACAGTTCCGGTGGCATTTGCGACATTTGTTCTGAAAGAGAGAAATGAAAGAAGAAAATTGAACGCTGATCAGGACGCAGCGTCCGTAACACAAAGACGAGTCTAGTCCGCAGGGCCGTTTGATTCGACCTTCACTATCATCTGGCGAAGTACTGGTCGTTTGATCAAGACTATGCCGGTCTCGAGAGGTATCTTGAGGCATTTGCGAGAGAATGCTTTGGCAGTGTGAGTCACCTCGATCAGAGTCAATTTGCAATATGACTTTTCATCCCAGTGACAGGGGGTGCTCCATCCTTCGTAGTTAATTACCGACGAATGACCTCATGGATGCCGTACTCTGAAGTCTTGTTGCGGGAAGACCGTGGAGGTCAACTGAGTTGATCGCAGTTGACGGTTCATGAACTGGCCTCAGCTTACGGGATATTGAGTAGTCTCTGGAGAAAGTAGCCTCGAGTCCAGATACAAACGCCCTATTGTTGTCGGGATGGAAATATCTTTGAGAGGCGTGATATTCTCTGGCCTGAAAAGTGGAATTGGGAAAAGGCTTAGAAGAGGAAGGATGACAGGATGAAATCACCGAAGCCTTTGATCGGTCCACCTTAAGAAAGGTCTACAGTTTTGCGGCGAATCCTCCCTCAGCAATTCAGTTAGATGAGTATAGTTGCTGATATTAACGTAAGAAAAGTTATCGTTATAATTCGACGTGTACTTGCATCCATTCCCTGGTGTCTTGAACTCTCCCGTAGCTTCATACTTGGTATCTGCTTACTCTTATGTAGCCTCATATTGTTAAGACCATCGTTTTCTTTTTTTCTCGCCCTAGTTTTCTCAATAGAAACGGACTTATTAAGCTGGTAGAAACTTGTCTGCCGTAAAGATGGAGTTCGGCCAAGCTCAACAAACGGCCTCCCTGTACTAGTAGGTTACAGCAAGTGAAGTTCTACGATCTTTGCACCACCATCGTGTAACTAGCTTTGCTGGAGCTTTTATTTAAATCATCTAAAATAAGAGAA